CTATTTATCTATCTATCTATCTATCTATATCTCACTCTCTCTCTCTCTCTCTCACACACACACACTTTATTTTCTCTCTCTCTCTCTTTCCTCTCTCTCTCTCTCTCTTTCTCTCTCTCTCTCTCTCTCTCTTTCTCTCTCTCTCTCTCTCTCTCTCTCTCTCTCTCTCTCTCTCTCTCTCTCTCTCTCTCTCTCTCTCTCTCTCCTTGTCATACACGTACGCACGCGCGCGTACACACACACACACACACACACACACACACACACACACACACACACACACACACACACACACACACACACACACACACACATGCAAATATACATGATATTATAGTATATGTGTTCCTCATGCTGTTAATAATTTGTGTAGCCATTTATGTGTAAAAACAATTAAACAAGTAAACTCCCAATGGGCATGTCACATATACGTGACACCCGGCATGAATGGGTTAATAATTTTACCCCTTGCTTCTAGTCTCCTACGCGCCGTTGGACATCGCCTGGGGGGTGGAGCATGAGCTGTACGCGCAAGCAAACGAGCTCCGCCATTCGCTAAACGTGACGTGGTCGCCCCGCGCAGAAGATCAGCTGTCTTCCGTTATCCATTATGTCAACAACAACGTGCTCAGGGACCTCGACGTGTCTCTCTATGTTCTGGTCAGATCCGGCGTAATGCTGCAAAAGTCTTGCCAGTCACTCTCTTTGTATTTTGTGAATGTAGATAAAGCGGATTGTCTTATTTAGTGTTATATCAAACTTCTGTACCGGCAGGGCATTTAAGGAGATAACTTTTCCACTACTCTCTATAGTCTCCATTCATCTTTGACATGCTTCCTGCCATACGGGATAGCTACACCAACAATAGCTATGACTGAACTTACAGTAAATCTTTGCTCAGTTTGTGAAATAAATAAAGCCCATGGGGGTGCGATAGACTAAGAAAAGGCTGACAAGAGGTTAAGAGCCTAGCATGTGAAATTTGTGTAGGCGTATCTTCATGTGGAAATCCTCTATGTGAATCATGATTAGAGTCACCTCCCTTCTTTCATAACTAAGTAGTTGCTTGGTCAGTATAAAGTAGCGCTTTCCCATTCAAAGCGTGATTATGGTTCATAATTGGTTCATAGAGTTCACATGGACCACTTTCCGGTTGAAGTCAAGGACAATTTCGTTATCAAATGCAACCTGTTCATTATGTCTTTTGTTTATTGCAGATATTAACTAAATGTAAACAAATGACAGAAGACGCGGAGTACAGTTGGCAGTAGGCTACAGTCTGCATAAATTTAGCATATCTCATATTATTATGCAAGTGATAAAACTTCTTAAACAGATTGCACGAAAAGAAGTATTTTTTCAAAGAAACAGCCACTGTGATAGAGTGAGCACCGATTAGTAGCTCATCACATGTCCATCACTTTACTGCTGTTGGTAATTGTAAATACCCGATATCTGTGGGCAATATATAGTTTTGGAGTAATTTATGACAAGTTCTGACGGGCAATGTCAAGATAAATTAGATTATCATCCTCTTTTCCCTGGGTAATTTACTTACCCTTTACATATACTTATAGTTTATAGTTTTATCAATCACATTATACAATAACATGGGATATGCCTAGCTTATGCTAGTCGTAAGATTGTCTACTGTACTCATGTGTTTTTTTTTAGAAAACAAAAAAGTAATGAATATTACTTTAAAATGACTAGAATGTGATGCTCGTTTAAATTACTTTAACATGTTTATTAAAGTTTCAACGTTTTCGTACAAAATAAGTTTGGATTAACGTAGATGAAAGGACAGAACCATGAACATCATACATATCCAATCAACATGGCAAATGTAAAAAAATAATATAGTTTTGTATATTCTCTTAGCAATGTGTATATGATCTGCAGGTGGCATATCCAGGCCAGGTCATTGAAGTGGATGAGATGCTGTCACGGGCGCATGGCGGCAGCTACAAGAACAAGCTGAGGCTGCATTTCGAGCCCGGCCGGACCATCAGCATGGACACGGTCGTCATTTCCCGCAGCGACCTAGGCGTGATCTCATATGGCCTATCCAATACCTTTAAACTTGACACCTGGATCAGTCCTCTTAGGTGAATTAATGAGACACCCTACCTGTTGCTTTCAAAACATTCTTCAGATTCATTTGCCATTAGTCTTTGTCATTAAGGTCTTTCAAAACACTTTCTACTTAAAGTGCGGGGTCAGAGTCTGGTGTTGTGACCATGTCAGAAATCAAACCATTCCTACGTTAACCACAATAACTAAACAGCTCCCAAACACGTTATTGATACCTGATTTGTGTCCCCTTTCCGTCCATATGTAGCATTTTTTTATTGAGACGACTCTTACAATGTGTCATAGGAACCTCAAATGTCGTATATCCAAGTATCTTGCTGTTTTATTCATGATTTCAAATACCTATCATAACAGTTCCTATTACATGATGTTTTAATTTTGTGCAATAGTATTCAAGAAAATAAAATCGAGAACGACTATGGTCGTTGTTCATTGTTTTCTTTCAGTGTTGTGGGAACCTTGAATTGTATTGGGAAAGCCCGGTGCACGCTGGCCATGACAGCAGAGCAGGCAGGAGACCAGCTGGCTGATGTTGAACTGCAGCACACCGCCGCCACGGGGGTTTCCAGGACTGAGGCCAAATTCCTCGTCACGGTAGGGAGAAAGCGAAGAGAGTAATGGAAGCAGAATGGGGAACAAAAGTGGAAAATACATAAAATTCAAATTAGTATAACTGATTTCTTCGAAATACATAACCAATAAACATGAAATCCTTGTTAGCTAATGGCTTAAAAAATTCCTCCAGCGTTGGGTGGATGGATCGGTGTCCCTGGATTCCGACTCTAAGCTGGGGTACTATGACCTCAAGTGGCATGTGGTGGCCATTCCTTTGGCTCGCCTGCTGCAGGGGCACGCGAAGGTGGACCTGTCCTGGCCTGACATCGCGGCTGCAGAGATGATTGTGGCGAAGATAGAGGGAGACAACGTGGGCGAAGTTACGCATCTGTACAACGGAACTTTCACGTTAAATCCAATAACACGTTCAGTCCACACAAGGTCGGCAAAGGTTACAATTAGCCTCGATGATCCATACATTTCTGAAGCATGTGCAACACTGTTGGATGTTAGCTAGCGACTACACACTGTTAACAGTGCAACTGAAAAGTTGCAGAAATTCACGCCTCGAATAGTGTGTAATATGGCTTTCCCTCACCTAGGCAGGAGGTCCGGTTAGTATCGGGGGGTGTAAGTGACCTGTGGGTGGCAGTGCTGCAAGGACGGGCAGGAGACCAACTTATCAACAGAAGACACTTTGGAAAGGTAAGCATGGTCCCTCTTCATTGTTCTATGCGTAAGCGGGCCTCTAAGTGTGTATCAAAGGAGACGTGATTATTATGTGCTTGTACTAAGTGAAGGAGCTTGAGGATGGTCTCAAAATTATACAGAAATCAGACTGTTAAGTACACATGTTACAACCCTCCCACCACTTAGGCAACACTCATGACTCCTTCTGGCATGTTCTATACGGCGAACGGAGACGTGAGCTCCGAGGTGCGCAGCCTGGAGTCGGTGGTTGCGGGCGTGAGCCTGTCTGCGGGCGTAGGCCAAGCCGCCTCCTACCTCCTCACCTGGACCCTTAGTCTCCAACAGCCAGACCCTAATATTCGCTACAGGTAAATTCACTCCGTGAGAATATATGCGAATCTGAAACTGAATCCTGTCCGACGCTGCATTATACTGGAATGAAAAGTAGCCAAAGATGCACTATCATGAAAGGTAAAATGTTTGATCTACAGCATATCGGATGCAGGACTCGAGAGTGACCTGCAAGAGGCGCCCCTCCTGACCCTCGAGTCGCTCCTGAGGACCAACAGTCCCTCCACGGGTGAAGTCAAACTCAATGTCAAAAGCAAGAAGACGCGCCACTCCGTCCCCGGCGGAAGCTTCGAAGATGACGAGGAAGGCGAGAAGATCGACGTCGATGTACGAAATATATGTATTCTGCTAATATGATTAATTTTACTTCACACAAACATATATATGATTGTGTTAAGATGCATGTATGGAGATTACTTTTTCCTTTCTATTTTACATTTTTACATAATGAAGAAGGTGGACGTACCAAATGCCCATTCTCCACAGATTCGCCTGATCACTGAAGCCGTGCCTGAGCTAGGTCGGATCCACGGCAGCCTCACCAGATCCTCGGAGACGTACTCTCTCAACGGCCGAGTGTGGTCGGGTGCGCAGTCGCTTGCCGTGGTGTCCTATGGCGTCGCAAACAACGAGACTGTCAAGAGCTCTCACACCGTCACCATAGTTGCCCCTGCGCTGCCTTGGAGCAGGGCGGAGCTCATGGTTGAAGCGGATCACCTGGGGACTTTGCCCTTCAACTTCCAGGTACAAAAGACTCAAAAGTCACAGGCGTATCACACAGAGCTCCAAGTTGTGGCTGGAGCTGAAAGCCAGATGGTTTCGCGCCGACTCTGCGCTTTTTGACTAAGACTGTTTTCGCCTCCGCGAATTTCTAAGAAGGTACAAATGTATCATGTCAACTACCATTACACACACGCAAGCGCAAGCGTGCACAATAACAAGCTCACGTCAACGCATATCCCCACGCATATGCGTGGTTTCTATTAAACGAAGTGTTTTTGTCAACTGTATTATATATATATATATATATATATATATATATATATATATATATATATATATATATATATATATATATATATATATATGTACATATATATATATATATATATATATATATATATATATATATATATATATATATATATATATATATATATGTATATATATATATATATATATATATATATATATATATATATATATATATATATATATATATATATATATATATATATATATTTGTGTGTGTGTGTGTGTGTGTGTTTATTTATTCATTTATATTTTCTATATATATCCATATGGATATA